GCGAACCACATGTACAACTTATTAAATAAGTTTTAGAGAGATATTGAATTTACCTTAACTTTGCACAATGAAATATATTGTTTTTGCTGTTCCTTCCTCCTCTCCAAACAAACAAGGCCAATGATCTGGACCAGGCACCTGTCACAATAGTAACTGGTGCTGTAGCATACATGTATATTTGTCCAATATGACCACTCTTAGCATAAAAGATACAAACAGTAAATTTTGTCTCCACAATTATAGTCTCAAACATTAATACATATTAAATTCGTCATTCCTAATGAACAGGACTGCACAGTACCACTTCTGTCAACAACCTGCTGGCCATGCCACCCCCCAGCAGACATGTGGACCATTCCAGCAGCCTGAAAGGCCTAGACCTGGCTGTGATTGGTCAAGAGGACCGAGACCTTGTGATTGGTAGAGAGGACCAGCCCTGTACAGATGGGACTGATGACATCACCACGCAGTACAGACAAGTACAGTCAGCCGTACGTACAACTAGAGAGAAATCCAAACAAAAGGTAAAAATTCAGCTTGAGATGAAGCAGGGAGTAGATGCCATGATGAAGGAGGTAGAGATGCAGAAAGCAAAAAATGAGAAAGCGGAGAAAATCCTCATAGAACAGACGACAGAAATGAAGAAAAAAATGCAGAAACTTCAGGAGACCAACATGAGCATGGAGACAGCAATGGAGCAGCTTCAGGAGACCAACAAGAACATGGAGGCCAGAATAGAGGCACTGCTGACAGCCAAGCAACCAGTGAAGAGTGGAAGTCAGCAAAAGTATCCAAGGGTGGGACAACCATGGGTGGAGAAAGTCAGCTTTGGGGGATATGGATCAGGTAGGGGGGAATTTAGAGGTCCTTGTGGAGTAGCTGTCTCACAAGACAATGAGGTTTACATTGCTGATCGGGGTAACAGCAGAATCCAGGTGTTCACAATGGATGGTGTTTATATCAGAGAGTTCACAACAGGTCTGCCAGGGGACACTGATGAAAAGTTACTTCGTAGTACGCCATGGGATGTTGCTGTAGATAGAAATAACAACCTGTGGGTAGTGAGTAAGCATCGTGTAGTGCAGTATTCTAAGGAAGGTACCCGTTTGGCCACAAAAGATCTGCCATTTATTGATGATGCTGATATTAGATGGTTCCGTGGAATAACTGTATCTATGGCAACAGAACAGGTGATTGTTACAGAGTATGATGGGCAGAATGGTCAACTCCGAGTGTTTAACCAAGATGGTTATCAGGTGGGGATATATGGGGCAGGTCATAGGGCACCAAAGCCTTGGTGGCCACGTTATGTCACTGTGGATGGGGAGGGGAACATTCTGGTCACTGACAGCAACAATCACTGTGTCCATGTCTGGGACAGAAAGGGGAACTTCAAGTTCAAGTTTGGGAGTGAGGGATCTGATCAGCTGAAAAATCCTGAGGGCATTTGTGTTGATGGGAAGGGAAACATCATTGTAGCTGACAAAGGAAATCATTGTGTGAAAAAGGGCAGTTATGGCAGATTTCTTTCTTACATTGTAAGAGGTATGAAGGATCCCCAGGCTGTTGCTATGTCACCAGGTGGAGATGTGGTGGTGACTGATGATAAGACTAAGACTGTATCAGTCTGGACACAGGGTTAGTGCTGTATCATACAGGGGAAACAGCACCATTCTTAAAACAAAAAAAGTCACTTCAAATAAAAGTTTCATAGTGTCAAGTTTCTTGTGTGATTGATTTTTAAAAACATCTCTGATAACAAATTTTCACTGACACTGTAAGTAACACTGTATCCAATAGGAAAAAAATAGCAACCACCCCTTCCCAAACTGCACCCAGAACTAAGATGCCCTAGCTGGTTTCTGAGCTATTAGTCAGGAAACTTTGTGCAGCTTCACGTAAGAAATACAGAAGAATGAGAACCGCTTCTCAAAAGCTGAAGTTTTATGAGGTAAATGACGCCTATAAATTGAGTCTTAAAGACCGCATTTACTTAAAGTAAACACAGACACTATCAAACAACTCTATTACAAGGCCACATGACAATACTTTCAACCATATTATAATGAAACATTCTGGTCAATGTTAGACAGCCCTTGGGGCCAAAGGGTCAGATTTGCTACAAAACCTGAGAAAAACTCTGAGGTCTGAGACCTTAGGCCACACCGATTTAATTTCTTGGTTAACGGATTTTTCTAGAAAAATAATGGAGCGGGCGGGCGACAAAAAAACAAAAATAAAAACAGGCCTAGGCATCGTATTATGGCCCAAAATGGTACGATAGGAGCCATGAAGTCAATACGCCAGGCTGGTTCAAAATTTAAACAATGAATTTGAACTTTTAATGATACCATTGCATTACAAGATGGAATAGCTGTAACAACTAGGATGAAATGGTCTGTTTTCAACTGTTCAGGGCAAAATATGAGCATTTTGCAGTTGATTCTGGATTTTTATTTTTATTTGCAAATCTGAAAAAAATGAAGCGGCGAATCCGTTAACCAAGAAATTAAATCGGTGTGGCCTTATGGAAGGGCGCCAGGAAACCAACAAGTAACTCCAGTCAGTAGAACAAGAGTAAACAATTGGAACTGCTCGTCACAAATCAGCACTTTGACCTGAAGCCAGAGGCACCATAATTCAGGCAGGCAGGAAAGAAAACAGTTCTTGTCTTGAGGAAAGGTAAGCTGGCAGTTATTTTTATTATATTACATTACCTTCCACATATTTCATACCAGAAAAAGATAACCAATCAGAATGCCTGTGACAACAACCATAGTTTGACTGACTAATCAGAATGCCTGTAACAGCCATGATTTTTGTCTTACCTCTCTTTCTGTTCTCCTCTGACAGGATGCAGTACAGGAAGAAACCATTACAGAAGGGGTGTCCAGGGTTCAGCGAGGCATGCACAATGTAGTGATCCTCCACAAGTTTCTGTGGTAAAAGAAGTTTCAAGTATTTGCAGAAATTGCAAAATACTACTAACTGTGACAATGATTGTGTTGAAATTGTAAAGTTCATCCGTGTTGTTAAAGTCACTATAAAGCAAGTATAAAACTGTAGTTTACAACACAGGAAATTGGACTTAACTACATGAGGGCACTACAGACTTTCTGCAAACAATGATCCACTGTTCACCGAGTATACAAATCTGTTATTCAACTTATTGCCAAGAAAACATCCTTATGAATTACCTAGACGCAAAGCACATGACAGAATGCTTCTCAACACCTAGTTCTAACTTACTTAAGGGTTCACAAAGGGGATTTCAGGCCTTCTTACCTGTAGCAGTTCCACTGCCTGTAAGTGAGAGACAACCCCATCCACAGCCTCTGACACCCAGGCCACTGCCTCTGCACTGATGAAACTGTTAGCTGGCAGGCCTCTCTGGTCTGGTAGAAAACCGACACCAGTGCTGGACATGGGACAGAAGGTGGGTTACTTTGTTTGCCTTTGCAGAAGGAGAACATTTTGTTTTGCTCTGTTTCTTCTTACTATTCTTCTTCTTCTGTTCCAAACAAAGTCAATGACCTGGACCAGACAGCTCTCACCATGATGATGGTAACTGGTGCTGTAGCAGACAGCCTGTGGTGTTCGGTTACATTATGTAGCCAGTTGGAGGGGCTAGTCACCATATATAGGACTATGTTTGAGTAAGAATAAACAGACCAGTAGTTTTTAGGCTAGACTAAGTGAAGGTTAACATTATACATTGTTTTGTTGGAGATGAGTATAATAACAAAACAAGAAGTGGTGAACCATCCTTACAAAATGAGCCTGCCAAAAGCTTATGGCAAGACACAAAATTAATACTTGCTTTGTGTCCTTCATGGCTTCTATAATGACCTCTGGAGGTGAGGTCAAGGTCAGCTTGCCTTCCTGCTCCATCTCAGCCTCCTCCCCCTCCCCCGTAACGGTGGTTGCCATGGCGTCACTGATCAGGTCCTCCGTGTTCTCTGTGTTGGCCATAACCATGGCAACAGCTACCTCACTGGTGGAGGGTGGAACAGGGAAGCTCTCCACCTGCTGATGGATGGAAAAAGAGTAAAGGCTCTTGGTGGCAAATGTGTACATGTTGGCACATTGGTGCACCAAATGTGTGGTGTGTTTTTGGCACACAATTTGACAGATAAGCCGAAGACACTTGGCGGGCATCCACCGTACAGTGAGGGAATTCCAAGGGATGTATAGAAAACAGAAAATATACGCATGTCTACTTAAATGTTTACAAAGGAACTGTTCCTCTACGAGACCCAGATTTTTCATGATTTTCGTTGGATGTATGGTCAATGTTGTATCAGAACTTTGAACGCTACTGTAAAGGGTTAGTACTTAGGATGGGACCTTAAGCTGTGGTCCACTGTTCATTGTACTTGTTGAAAAGAGCTCGGGGGATTTTTCAGTCTGTTACAATGAACCTGTAAATACTGTAGGTAGCGTCTGTCTTCTCTGTCATGACAGGTGGAAGAGTAGCTCTTCAGTGCAAGAGCTTAAACTGGATAGGGATCACTTTCCTTTTCTTCCTCTGTCCTCACCTTAGCCTGTTGTGACTGCTGGTCCTTCTCTGTGGGTGGTAGAGGGGAGAGAGGGGCTGTAGGGGTGGTGGGTGCTGATATGTTAAAGTTTAACCCTGCTCTCTATGCTCACCTTAGCCTGTTGTGACTGTTGATCCTTCTCTGTAGGTGGTAGAGGGGAGAGAGGGGCTGTAGGGGTGGTGGGGGCTGACAGGTTAAATCCTGGTCTCCTTCCTCCTGATGTAGGGGTGCTCAACTCCTTACTGTCTCCTCTCTGTGCACAGGAAATAGCAGAGAGAATAGTTGTTAGTACTGTACTTTCATTAGGGAGCAGTTTAGGTGGAAGGGCTAGCAGTGTGTAGCACACAAGCTGCAAGAATAGTGTGTAGTTTGTTAGTACAGAGAGATAGACACAAAAGACCTGTATATGCTGGGTGTTAGGTAGGTACAAAAATGTACTATTAAGTTACTAGAGAGGTATGAAGGACTTGTATTTCTCTGTTATCAACATCACGGTGGTAGTTCCTAAAGTAGGGCAGAGGGAAGGAAAGAGAAACCATGAGAAAGAAAGTAGCCAGTTGATGTACAACATACATCTAGAAAAGACAATTCTAATTTTGTGAATATTCCTGAACAAGTAACACAAAACACTTGCTAATCTCTCCTTGGATATTAACCTTCTCCCTGCTGCCTAACCCTGTCAGCAGCACAAATTTGGTGCCACCAAAAGACAGCCTTGGCAGGACCAAGGTTAAGTGAGTACAAACAGTAAAACATGTGTTAACAGAGGGAAGTGTGTTACACGTAGATATAAACTTAAGATAAAAATACCTCTTCCCGCTCATGGTTGCGGACATGGCGCAGCAAACCCATGAATTTTGCGATGCCCTGTATTATTTTCTGAATACAAATCGGTATAAAATGATATATAGTGGTTTAGCCTGGGCGCCATCCTATTTTGTTAACCTGGGTTCCTTATGTAGGCTACCCCATACTTGTAGACATACAGTACAGGAGCCCTGGTAAATGAAATAGAATGGCACCCAGGCTAATGGTGGCTGTACAGTATTTATCAATTATGTATTGAATGCTATCAATGAAAGAAATGATAGGTGGCAGATTTTTGCATATTGTGATTAATTGCTAAAGTTATCATAAGATGTTGAGTTAGTGTTATATAATTTCCTTTTTATTTCAGAAAAACTGATAAACTGTTTGAGAACTTTTTGCTCCATTTTCCTCTGAATTAAGGCGCACCGCCAGTTTAACGGTGCACACCCCAGTTCTTCCGCGACCGGGGTCCGTGATAGTCCGTTGTAAAAAAGTGACGAAAGGGTTTTGAGGGTCCAAGTTTGAGGTGACATTTCTTATAAACTGCCACGAAGTATCATTAAACATTAACATGGCCGAAGAGTGTAAGAAATGGTGATTTTGGGGTGAAAATTTCTTTTGGCTCCGAACCTTACTTCCGGGTATCCTTGCGCGCCAAGTGTAATCCGCCCGTTTGACCTAGTTTTCGCTCTGTGGCTTCGTAGGGGTGGATTTGCAACCCCTCGCGCCGTGGACTGTTTAGAAAATTACAGTACTAGAATTTTCTTTATAATTTACTCGGGTATAGTCAAGGCTTGGGTCTTTCTGCCAGCATCAGTCATTTCTGCCGGAAAATTTTTTTTTGTGGGATTATCCTACGCGAAAATTCGCAATTTTGGGCATTAATTTTGGAGTGAAAATAATGTTTTTTCCGTTGATTTTACCAAACTTAAAAAGGTTGAAGAAACCAAACTCAGCTTGTCTTGTAGCTGAAGAGATACCCTTTCGTCCCATATACAGTTATTCTCCTTCCGAATTATTCCACGCCAGAGACGGTCGCTAGATTTGAGGGTGTGCAGCTTCGAAAAGAGGCCCCAAATAAACTGGGGTGTGCCCCCTTAAGGATAGAAACATCAGATAGCATTGTAGAGCTGGTTACACGTAGCTGTTTGAATAAGGCTATTTTCAAGCAAGTTTGTACATTACAGTATCAACTCTTGAGATGTCTGCAGGAAAGATTAAGTTAGGTAGAGAGAAAGAAAGATAATCAGTAAAGATCAAGTTCAACAGCATGAGCAGTACATGAGGGTTTGATGGGCATAAGTTTTGCCACATTCTGTAGCCAGAGAATACAGGAATCAAGAATCTACCAGGTATGGCATGGATGAAAAAAAACACATCAGATACCGTAATGTAACTGTATGATTGTTGAAGACAAACATGATCCTGCTGAATTAACAATCAATACACAACACAACCTTACCTCTGTAACCTATGACTGTGGGGCCCTAATGTAACATGTTACAGTTAGTTAAGGTGTTAGGACAATAGCATTTATATTATGAAGCACTTGAGAATTAGTCATGAGTATTGAGCAAAGCGTATTTAGCCACACGGTGATATACATCATCACCCATAAATTCTTGCGAGCAATAGCAAAGCCGAATTGCAGAAGCATAGCTACTTGCTTCAACTCTGTTGAGGAATACTAAACAACAATAGAAAGCATGAATCTTTTCACAAATTATCAACAATCATTTCTTTGCCTGACATTCAGGAAACACTGAACACACACACACACACACACACACACACACACACACTGCAGAGCAACAGGAAGTGATGTCAAACGTAACCGTCCCACAATACCTTCTGTTTCCTGTTGCTGGCGGGTCGGCGTATCCTGTTGACGATCTCCATGAAGCGGAGGAAGCCGTCCACCATCTGCTGCTGCTCCTCCTGGCTCCGGTCCGGGTAGACGTCGAACGTCGTGTCAGGGGTTTCTGACAGCATCTTGGTGCTGGCTGACATGGCTGGCAGGAGGAGGAATCTTGTCCTCCAGAATTTCAGCGACTGTCAAAAAAGAAGATCTTAGTTTGTACTTGATTTATCAGCTTGACTGTGACAGGTTTGCTCAACTAGCCAACAACAGTACAGAAGTTCAACGTAACATATAATATGAACATTTTAATGTAGGAAGCAGTAGTTCATAGATGTTTCCTACATGTATGTCCTATGTTTTCTGGGCCTCTTCAGAAATCAACAAGTAGTTGTAGGGGCTACCAAGTTGTTTTGAAGATAAGATAAATAAATGAATACTTAATAATGAGTTCAAAGATGCACAGTGGTTAATGATAATGAGAGGTACCTTTTTTGTACTATGCTCAATAGTTGTTGCCATACATTGTACAACGTACAATTGTTGTGCAATAAAGTTCTACTACATGTATAGTAACTCAGGCTTTACATCCATCAGGTCGAAGTCGTCCCCCCCTGAGCTGCAGATGTAGTTGTCCAGGTAGTTCCAGTTGTAGTTCTCCAGATTGTCGTGCTGGAACTCTGTCCTGGCCGGGTCGTACACCTGCTGGTAAACCGGCCACAACCGGAACCGGTAACCCCATGGGTTGGTGTGGGATGGATGTCTGGGCAGATGACAACAGGAAAAAAAGCTTTGTTTTTATGGTGGTATTGGTAAAGCCATTTGCTGCATTTGCTCCTGAGCAAATGTCTGCCTTTCTAGTTTCCATACTAATTTTGCAACATCCCCTATTGTTTCTGAAAATAATTTAATCTGGTTGGTAAAACATCAGATATTGGGGTTTTCTTTTTACACAACCAGTAATAGGTCTCACCTGCTTAAGTTTCAATGTCTATCAGACCCCTTCCTCAGAGATATATTTGACAGGTGTTTTGATTTGTATTACATTATATCTTGTATCTCACAGTCACCAAATTCTAACATCCTTGATCTAATTCTTAAGATCCAACACTTAATGTGGTAGTTCTTGAGAGTGCCAGAATGTTTCCAGATGACTAAAAACACTTGACATTCAAATACGGTGATGTACACCAAAAATATCCCACGAATATGCTAGATACAGCTACTGCACCACAGTTTTTGTACCTGGGCTTGTATTTTGTGACATGGATGATACAGGACTGTCGACTGCGACTGGCCACCACCTTGTGGAAGTTCCTCCCCATACTTAACCAGTACTCATCCTGAGGGACAGAAGGAACAACTTTACAGTGAGGGAGGATTGGGCAAAATCACAACATCTTTTGTCCAACTTGAAACAGGTGGTTGTAGTACTACAACATTGTACTGTGTGTCAGACAAAACAATTTCCGTCCATGTTTTTAGGACCTTTTCATCATAGAACAAATACAAGACTTAGTGCATGTACACTGTACATACACAACATCAATGCAACTGGTTAACCTCTTAATAGCAAACACAAGTAGAACAGTGAATAGAACAGGGTTAGTACATGTGACATTACAGACTTATAAAGAACATGATGAAGTCAAAACTGAATGGGGGGAATTGGAGGGGAAACTGTTACTGTAACAATACCTGGATGTCATGAGAGGTCAGAATTGAGCTTTTTTGAGTTCCCAAATGGTCTAATTGTAAAAATAATGTAGCGCCCATCAATCTTTCAAGAAGTGGCTGGAATGAGTAGAAATCGGCCAAATAGACAGATAACATGCCAGGGGAGTTGGTCTGCGAAAGAGTATCATGTAGTTTGCCTCTCCTGAAGCACTCTTTCTAGCTGCTTCCCAAAGCCTGCAAGAGGCTAATAATAAAGGTTGATTCTTTTAACAATTGTCTCGACAACCACAGCTCAAAGACATTTCATGACTTTCTCATGACATCCAGCAGGGAAGACCTGGTACCTCCTCTCTACTTCTCCTCTGTGAGATCCACATGCGGGACAGGGTGGGGCTGCCGCCCAGCACCCCCGATATGGAGCGGGTGGAGGGGGAACTATCCCGGGACAGGCGGCCCAGACTACTGCCCGAGGGGGAGGGGGACTTCTGGGACAGCTGGGGGGGTTGCTTTTTAAGTTCAGGGGTCACGACCGCGGCAGGAGCGGCTGGGCTTGAGAACCGCCGGCTCTTCTTGGGAGACGGGGTGAGGAAGTTTGCCAACGACAACCGGCGGGAAGAATGTGTGGTGGTGGTGGGGGACACCGCCGCTGAGGAAACAGGTGAGGTAAAGACAGACTCAGGGCTCCCAGGGGGGGTGGTCAGAGGAGGAGGGGGGTGTGAGCCTCGCAGGGGGGAGGGTACAAGGGGGGTGCTGGTTTTGGGTGGCTTTACAACCCCGCCCTGATGAGGGAGGCTCTTGATGAGCTGTGTCCTGACATTAGGGGCTCCTGGTGAGAGGTGGTGGTGGTGTGAGTCAGTCCGGTCGGGGGAGGGGTGGAGACCAGTGGTAGGGGAAGGCTGTAAGACAGGGGGAGGCACACAAAGAACAGACATGCTGGCATCAGTCACAGAGATCTCTGGTCTATCAGGTATCGGGGGGAAGGGTGGAAAGAGACTTGGAGTGAGCAATTCTTAGAACAAGTGTTACAGTATTATTTGTTCAGCTTGTCCAAATAATACTGTAACACATCAGGTATCGGAGGGAAGGGAGGGAAGGTAAGAGACTTTGATTGTGCAATTCTTGGAATTAATGTTACAGTATTATTTGGACAAGTTGAACAAAAACAAGAAATTCCTAAAGACCCCTGTCACATAATGGAATGAAATGGCCCTAAGTGACAAAATGGGATCTAGAAGACATGTACACAAAGCACATTGGCAGAACGTACAATCATGTACATAAATTCAGCCAGTACTACAAGTACTACAATAATGATAACTGCAAATGTCAATGTAAAGATTTGCTATAAGCAACAAAAGAAATACATAAAGTCTTCTTCAGAAGGCCCCATAGGTTCTACAAAGTCATACCTGATCTTCACTCCTGTGTTTCCTGCGTGAGATACTGAATCGGGGGCTGCTGCTGAGGGGTGTGTGGCCTTGTGGCACAGATAGAGGAGAGTCCTTAGGCAAAACTATCAGCTGGAACCCCTGCAGAAAAAAAGAAGCTTAAGTATTTGGAGTAAACATTATAAACTAATGTTCTTGCCTGAACATGTTGGTAATATATATTGTAGCACTATGCATCTCATCTATCACTTGAGCTTATTATCTGACCAATGGGCACCACAGAAGATCTGACAACCTGTTTTCTTCACCCTTCTTGGTTTTCCAAATTCTTCTCAACATTTTGCTTAGTGTCATGCTGGTTAATAACCTGATATACTCCTCAAGTCTTTTCCGTTTCCTACCCCTCTTTCTTTCTTTCTTCCTTCCTGTACTGTTCCTTGCAGAACAGTTTTGGCTAGTCCTGATGACCATGACACATGGTCTTCACACTTCAGATTTTGCTTCTTTGCTGTGGTCTTTGCATGGACCCATATTTGTATACACATACATGTAAATTAAACTTGTCCACTTACTTGCATGAGTCTCTGTGAAATCAGCTCTGTGAAGACCTGTTGTGTGTTCAGGGTCTGTCTTGTGTGGCTAACTGGCTCCCTGTAAGAAATACAACATTGCATCAGAATTTTGACCATTGCAGACACAACACTTAAAAACTCAAGACGGGATGTCAATCTTAAATACGCAAATACAAATGAGACGTTCTACCGATGTGCTATGCACAATACATTACGGGTTTTACGCAAGTACAGCATACATGTACATTGTATGTTCGGCCGACATTCGGCGTAACACACCAGCTTCTGTATCTGTATAGCCGGTATAACCGCCCTTTGGCGGTGTAACACACCAGCTTCTGTATCTGTATAACCGCCCTTCGGCGTAACACACCAGCTTCTGTATCTGTATAGCCGGTATAACCGCCCTTCGGTGGTGTAACACACCAGCTTCGCATGCACGCGGCATGGCGGCAGCCGGCTACCTTACACCAAACGACTTGTTACACCTACATGTAACCCTTGAACATCTAACTCTAAAATTGTTTTAAGCTATCTAATGATAAATGTCCCTACTGTACTTGGTGACAGCTCATGTACTTGACCTACATATTTTTCATCTCCATGCTGTCCTCAAAGTCTGCCAGTAAGTCATAGTTGGACTCCAGGTAGTCATACTCCAGACTGTGCTTCTCAGGGAAGTAGTCGGTGGTGATGGGGAGACAGGCGGGCATGGTCAGGGACTTCCAGTCAACACCTACAGACGGGGGGAAATGTTTGCAAAACCCTAACCAGACTAACAACTTGTGTTCAAAAACATTAAAATTTGGCCAAATAGGAATTCTAACAACAATTGGCAAGGCTATATAGGGAAATTTACATTGTACATTGTAGCCATCAGAATTCATTTGCTAGTGACTTCCAGTCAACACCTGCATACAGGAGGAAATGTTTGCAAAACACAACCTACTTGCAGGCCTACACTTACACAATGTCTCCACCAGACTAACAAGGCGGGTTCAAAAACAGTAAAATTTAGCCAAATTGGGAGAATAATTGGCCTGGCTAGGGAGTTTTGCCACCAGGGTTCATTTGCTCAGGAGATGGAAATGAAACCTTAACAATGGACCCACTCCCTTGACCAGTCAGACTCTTATGATTTTTAGGAAGGCCTGCATGGTGGAGGCTATCGTTAACCATACATAATGTTACATGTAGTACAGGTGCCACTAGCTTTAGTCCGTCCCTAACAATCACTCCTTGGCCTCAGATTCAAAATTAAAGCTAACAAGTCTGGCATTTAGTTTTACCCACAAATATGATAGCATTGGCTATTACATAATACTGTACACAATCATGTATTAATGTACTAATCTTTCCAAGGTACCAATCATGGAAATTATCCAAACGGATTTAAGCATTTTTCTGCTAAATCACTTGATCAGCCATGTGATACGCAATGTCCAAAATAAAAAAGAGGGAAGAGACAGAGCAGGAGAAGGAAGAGAAAATTAACTAACTAAAAGCAAGTCTGTTATTAATCTACCTACAGACCCACACAAGCCTGACATCTGTCCCAAACACCCACAATACAAACTTCTGTCTCCTTAACAAGGAGTGAGATCATACAATGTTCAACACTTTGGAATTTATCTGCATTATCAAAACTTTCTTACTCTTCTTTAGATAGAAGCTGGTAAGAAAAACTGTCCAACTGTCTACCATTTTCACTTGTCATAATAATGAACAAAAATTATTGTATGATTTCTTATAATTTTAAAACTTTTTTCTCAAAGACCTACTAAACTCCCACCACTAGGTATTAAAGCAGTGCAGAGCATCAGATTCTTGCACATTTCACAGGTAAAAAAAATTTTTTCAGAGTAAAATAACTTTTTTTTTCACTTTCATGGCGGTCTCAGTCCTCTATTCCCCAGCGGGTCACCCCAGCTGGGGCAAAGTAGGGGAAATCAACAGTGGCAAAAGGAGTTCAGATGAAAGAGCATCTGTCATCAGATTGTGTGTGAAGTTCGCAGGGAGGGTGTTTGGGAGAGACTGCCCCTGGGCTCTACTGTAGACTACCTGTCTGCAGGTCAGGCGTCCACTCCTGATCCCCAGTCATCCCCCACAGCCACGACAGGTTACTCCCACTCCTCCTATAGCTCGTTACTCCACCACCACCCCTCCCTGATCAACACAGACGGATCAGCTTCAGCTCAGCAGAATGACTGGCCTATCTAGCTGTATCTAGCTATAGTGGCTACGGCCACATATGTTGTGTAACTGCCGTACAATCAAAAACTGCCGTACGATCAAAATGGGGGCATTGAGTATTTTGAGATTATTGAGTTTTTGTGATATCATTGATATACCTTTTAGCCCATTTATGGGGATAATCTTTCTGGGCATGCTTTGGACTGTCATGCATGTGTAGCCTGCAAAATTCAGCTAGCTGTTTGTTCTGTTGCAATCAGTTTGAAAATTAGAAATTGTATGACGGCCTACAACAAATGTGGCTGTGCCTTGAGTTAAAGTTTTACTCACCCTGCTGAAGTACTGCAGCTTAGATGTCATCTCACACTTGCTATATCCCAACCTCAGACCAGCCTTTTTATTTTGATTACACATTTCATATCAATATCAATTACATTGTAGTTCATATTCAAGGTGGTCAGTTAAATATCACCCCAAAATAAACCCTACCTGTTGGTCTTTACGAATCATAATACATGCATGGCAGATGACTGATAGGTAAGTATAATGGCTATTGCACTACTCTTTCTGCTGAGCTGAAGTGAGTACTAGTACTGAGTTACTATGTCCATGGTGTAAGTGGTGTTGTTAACGGGAGGAAAAGGCACCAAGGAAGAGGTTAGTAAGTAGAAATCAAGGAAAAAAACTAAGCACCCCTGTCAAAGACATGGCATGAAAATGCCTATGATTTAGGGTAGTTCAAAATGATCTGTTTTAGAACTGGGTAGCTGGAAAGATAGTTAAAAGTTTGCACACATGAATATCTCAGAGTCACAGTTTTTATTATATAATTAGAACTAATAGAACAACTCCACACAACGTTAGGGTTCAAATGACAGCTAGAGGTTACTCAAACTATTAGTTTAATTTTTTTTCTTGCCCTGAAATAGAAGAATTATGTTAAACTATAAAATTCATCCAGCAAAATCTGGCAAACGTCAACAGAATGATATAGGGGCATTCATGATATGTTAAATCAACATAATTAATTCTTCGCAGAATACAATGTAAACAATGATATTAGCAGTTAAATTTAACTCAACTGTCTTGTTGACCTTAGTCACATAGTTTATATAAACTACTTTGATAGCTGTGGAGTCTGTAGTATTCCTTTGAAGTCCAGTGTAACAGGCCAGAATGTACAAATGTACCTCAACCAGAAAACATACTGGCATGGGGTACATTCTGGCCTGTTACACTGGAATTATATGGAATGCAATCTGTCATTCAGCCACTTTGCTTGCCACATACATGGCTTTATTGCATGAGTGTCTTAATTATAAGTCACCTGACATCTCGTAAGTGTTGATGACACTGGACACACTGCCGGCTGAGTCCACCCTGCGCATCCCGCCTCCCTGGTCACTGCCCAGACTGGACAGACTCGCAGACTTGTGCAGATTCTCCATACTCTCCTCACTACAGATCACAACATAGCAACATGTCATGGTTAACATAGCTAAACAAGTCATAGTTGACATAGCTAACCTTCTCCCTGTTGCCTAACCCTGTAACCAGCACAGATGTGGTGCCAAAGGCCACTTAAGCAAGGGGAAGGTTAACATACACTTGGAGTTTATAGTCATGAGGAAAGTGTTTTGAGGTGAATGAAGAAACTGGTGCCATAAATGAAACATACATTATGTAGAATACATAGACAAGACTAGGTCTGTTGCATTTCACTGGATGAGAGTTAGGCCATGTTGATTTGATTATATGGATGACATCCTCTGGGAACCCCAAAACTGATGCGCGCGTGCGAATAAAAAAAAGTTTTGACAAAAAAAAAAGTTGCTTTCACTATGAAATCTACGTGGTCATGAAGGTTGAACAAATGGCACAGAATATGTTATGGCGAATAATCTACTCTTCGAATTCATTTCTTTACATTTTTGTCTTTTTTCCTTTGATTTTGGCATTCTACGACATTGGTATCGTTTCTAAATGTTTTCCTTGCAACTTATGGTATATTTTTGCTCATTTAGCAACTGTTTTGCACGATTTACAGTATGGTTGAAAACTTTTTTTTTTTTTGGAAACGGCCGAAAATTCATGCGCGCGCGGATGTCATCCATATAATCAAATCAACATGGCCTTATGAAGACCTGCCAAACACCATGAAGGATAGCAGGGCTAGATAAACAGGGTCATCCGTGAGACCTTTGCGACCAGATGATGATAATGATATAGAATACAGAAGAAAATTTCTCTACTTATAAGGTTAATCTAACTTTAAGTTTTATAACTCTAATATGCAGAAACTTGTAACATAGAACAGTCCATACCTGACCAGTCCTGCTTGCCTCCTTGCCTCCACAGCCGCCATGTTGGCGTCCAACATGCCCTTAGAGGGGGGAGAGGTTGCGTCCATGGCAACAGCCAGTTCCTCCGGCACGGGTGACTTCTTGTGATGATGATGCTGCATGGCCTCCCCTGTGGGTCCTGGGAGCGGCGAATTGTAAATGTTGGTGAATGATAAAAAATCTTAAGGAAAGTAAGGAGAAAAACTTAGTCTTTCTGGATTACTAAGCTGCTTTTAAGTTTTATGCTTCACATTTGTGGGAGTAGGCGACGGAAATGAGTGGTGAATCATGGCAGATAATGGCCTGGCAAGACATTTGTTTCATTTTTATCATCATAAGAACAGGAAACCAAGAAATGTAAAAAAAAAAATGGTTGTCAAATCTTCTGTAGTGCCCAAACTGTCAAATAACTAGACTAAGGGATAGATGAGAAAAGAGATGTCGAGATTCAATTTCAAATAACTCAGTGATCTTCACTTTGCTGAATATTCCTTTTGGTTAATAATGACTTTTCTTAACACAAATTCTTAGTAAATAATAACTTTCCTTATAAATGATCCAGTCTTACCCAGAGGGAATGTGTGGGTCCACCTCCTGCGGTTGGATGTGAGTCTCACCAGGAGTCTCGAGGGTGCAAAGGGGTTGATGAGGGCTCTCTTTCGTGTGGGAACCTTGGGAAATGCACTTGCTGGGAAGAGCTTGGAGCGATCCGTCGGAGACGCGCTGCCAACCACAAACCGCTTGGTCTCCTCCTCATGGTCTGTAGCAGAAGGGAAAACATAAAATAATGTATGTTGTTCTGTTTCCAAATCATATCCAGTTGCTTGAGCAACTGTTTTCTGGCATATCTTATTACCTGGAAGCCTAATCTGCGCCAATGTATGTCAAGTACCTTCAAGTTGGTGAACAATTTCATTAGGTTGGTAAGAAACTGTAAGAAGACTCTTTATTCAACAACCAGTGGCTTTTACAGTGACATCTACATTGTAGCAGAAGTATATCATCAAAACCAGTTATTGCTGCACAGAAGGAAGAGGACAAATATTGTACACAACCCTTTTCTGAGACCTTTTAGCTAGATAAGCCCAAAGTCATGTTCCTACTTCATGTACCCTCAATTTAAATGATAGAATCCTGTGAATAGCTACAGGATTCTATCATGAAATAGAGGGTACGTACTACTGGTGTTTGCTCTAACCTGAGGGTACTATGGGTTTTAGCTCTAGCATGAGCCAAAAATACTAGTAGTGAATAAAGACAAGCATATGTAGGTATGATCTGACCTGTGACCTGGAAGTTGTGTAGTGAGCCGAGTGAGCTGGCCTGCATGCTGTCCTTGCGGGGGAGACTCGGGGGGATCTTGATAGCCAGGCTGGACTGGATCTGTGGATATGACAAAAGATTTGTCAAAAAACAACACTTCTTTGCATATCAATCAATAGGTTATGCCTATAAACCTGTGTCACTGGTTAAAGGTAGCGGACGCTACCGGAAACGTCTAACCGTTTCCAAAATCATATCCTCGATAGCTTGAGTAAATGTTACGGGTATTTTAGTCAACGCCATCTTTTGACCTTTACACAGTCAGTAAAAAAAAAAGGGTGAAAGCCACCATCCGATGAACCCCGAAAAGTGCCATGCATGTGTCTCCAAGCTTTCTTGCAAAAAAGAGATAGGGTAGAACTTTTGAATTTTTTGTCAGATAACTTTCTAAGAATATGAGCAAACAATTTGGCCTGGTTGCATTGAGGAAAGGTCAGATGAAAATACACATCTCATTGAGTTTGAAGTAGGACTTACAACAGATATTCCCCAGCATTAGCACAAAATTTGGTAAAGTTGGTAAATTACATAATGAAAAGTAAACTGTTCTCCAAATATACATGAATATGAAAAATTCTCCCGCATTACAAAAAGCTGAAAGAAGTAATTTTGCTGCAAGCATGCACCAGCTACACATGTGTATTTGGTGACACAATTTACACCAGTTACGCCTTTTATAAGGCTGCTGAATGCTACACATGTAGATATACTGAGCAAGGACCAGTGCGACAGGGCAGAGGAGCTTTCTGGTCTGAGCTTGCAGAGATGAACTCTGAGCTGACGATGTTACCTTCAACTGTTTGATTGAGTGACGCAGGTCCTCTGACTTATGTCGCTGCCTTTCCTACAGTACGTGGTCATCAAAGTGCCATGGATAAACTCATTACAAAGGCACCAAAACACACAGTATAAAGCATGCAATGTTCTACATGTACATGCTATTCACATTTGGTCTAATCATGCATCTGAATCAATCTGTAATTGAATGGTACGGTAGAGTGTTATTTGTTAAGGGTATTTTGTTTCATGCTTTTGCATAACAAACTGCATGCAGACCTGTTTTACCATAATTATTCAACTAAGAAGTGTTATGTTTCAATAAAAACGATGAACAAAGGTTCAAATCGAGATATGCCTTCCTGATTTTTCTCTATCCCGAGTCTAAATTGCATGCAAAATGAAGCGGTATCACTGGGCTGGTGTAGCATCACGATCATCACCTGTCTAACGCTGGAGGTGAGGTTGCGATGGTCGTCCGAAGCGTGGCGGTTTCGCCCGCGGAGTTGAGCGTGAGCCTTCGCCTCCAGCATATCGTCTGATGAGTGTCGCATCAGGCTCTTTCCGTAGGTCCGCGGGAAGCTGTCAAGATAAACCAGGTCAAGATTAAGAATTCTCTATGTCAATCAGTAATACATATACATAATTATCTAGCCTCTACCAGGCACTGGTGATCGCTGGAAAAGTAGTAGAAATTAGCCAAAATAAAGGGAATAGTATACCTGAGGAGTTAGCCTGCCAGAGAGGGTACATTTTGCCACCCAGGGTATACTATTCGGCCAATTTCTACTATTTTTCCAGTGATCTGCTGTGCCTGATAGAGGCTAGTAATTATTATCTCATAATTTCATGAATCTATTCACTGACAGATGTCCCACAGACAGTTCACTTTTCAAATACGCCGCATGGAACAACACATATCTACAGTAAAAGTTTCTTCCCACCTTGTTCCAAGGCTCCTTGCAGGGTTCTTGAAGACCTGGGCATCATACTCATCGTAGTCTACCATGGTGCTCAGAGCATCGTCAGTACTGGGGGTGGGGTTTCTCATGTAAAGACCTACATGTATGTAATAAAAGACCTGTATCTGTATCTGGCTTGCCAGTATAGCTTTAAAAAGGGTGTAAGAAGTTTATCAAAAGCAGAGTTTGTGGAAGTGGAAGAAGATTGTGCATTACCATTGAGACCTCCATCCTTGCTACCCTTCCAGTCAGGCTGTGGAGCAACAAAGTAGACTTAAGTCTCTATAGTATGTACACATTTAACACACTGTTACTAAAGCATAAAACATGTACTGTAAAGTCAGACTAATCTAAAACTGCTACTCAAGAATATGGTTGAAATGCCCCCACAACAGTTTACTGTACAGGACAATGCACAGAAAATCAATAAGTTAGCTCTATTATTTCTTTAATGAAAGTACAAGATGGCTACAATGTATGTAGATGGTGACTGTGTAAAAAGTAGGTTTTGCTTGCACAAAAATGTAGATAATCAGTAACTGTTACCTTGGTCTCTGCCATCTTGATTCTCGGCACAAACCCTGTGGACCCGCTCTCTGTGCTCTTGGGGGCGTAGAAGCTGCAGTTGAGTCATACAAACGCACCCTCAACATTCAACACCTCAAAACAACATAATGAGATCACAACTGTACCACCACCACTTACCCTAATGTCATGTTGCCTTGCCCTCATCTGGCTGAAATCAAATACCTGTTTGGTTACGGGAAGAGTAGACATTATATATCTTAAAAAGTTAGCACACAACTTGTTTAACAGCGCACTCACCACACTTGAGACTTCTGAGAGAAGGTATATCTAAACACCTGTTGCCCTTTTGGAACCTTCAGCAGCTAGAAGTTTGTGTTCATGGAAGCCCAAAGTGTTCCTGTAAATTTATAATCTCAAAGAACTGTGATGTGAAGATAGGGTCTAGGATTTTGCCATTTTAATAATCGAGAAAAAAACAAAGACCAAACGGGACAAACCATACAAAATGCAGTACAGAAATTCCAGAGGATCTTGGGGGGCATGCAGGAGGTCAAAGGTGGAACAAAGGTCAGAGTTGAAGATCAGAAGGTAAGAAAGGTCTCTACACTTACGGAAACCTGCTACAGTAACCAGTAAAGCAGCACAGAGGCACAAACAAAGACATTCTAGATTAGTAAAGGGGCCGTAAGTCAGGAGTCTACTGTGTGTCCCGAGTTTAGAGTGGTTAAGAGCAGAGAAGTGGAAAAGGCAGATACAGCAGGCAGCCAGGCAGGAAGCTTTGGAGAAAATTAGCTAACAGGGGAGGACAACGGAAATCATGAACTGTTACAGAAGACGGGAAAGGTAAAGAGAAAAGAGGAAAGGTGAACAGAAGCCTTTGACTGGCATGAGGCATGAATTTCTGAGACTCACTGTTGTGCATGTTCATGTATTTGCCTTCCAAATGAATGAGTCCTTGTGAGGAAAACCCCCTTTTCTTTTAAGAACTTGCAACAAGAATTTCAGCACTTAAATTGTCCAAGTCTACAGCTTTGTCATTCAGGTGGTGACAAAACCTAAATTCTGATGTCTTACCAATGATACTGTAATAAGTAGCAAGTTGGATGGGGCCACATAAGCACAAATAAGAATCAGCAAACAGAAAACAACACTTCCATGAATTTTTCCCAAAGACCCTCAAAAGCCATGATTGTATATAAAGCTAATAATATCAATGCTAGCAGGGACCAAAGCTACTGCTACAGAATTACATGGCATGGAGCATGGGACACTACATTGTATGTTGATTACCCAGAATAGAGCATGTGTTAACTGCAGTTCCAAAGTTCACATACTATATTAAGATACAGGAAGGACAAACTATTTCTGTATATTGGATACTACATGTAGTAACATTTAGGTGTCTAGGTATTTAGTTGTTTTATACTTATGTCTATCAGACTTTACCTGGTAACCAAATATCCTACCAATAGGGACTCTAGAATTCTACTTAGTAATAAATGTACCAGTTTTAGACAAATGATAAATCTGGGTGATTCCACTATTGTAGTCTTCCAGGGGGAGTTCTGTGCTTACCTGTGGTTTATCCAGTGTGGGATGTTGTAGTCATCTCCAAGGTAGTTTTCAGCTGACTTGTTATGAAACTGTGGAAAGACAGAAAAACTCTTAAGATGTTCATTCATGTTTTAGAGTGGTGGAGGGCAAACATGTGTATTTCATGTAATGTAAAGTGACAAATATGTATCAGTACCATACACCATATCTTTCCTTGTATCAGTACCATACACTGTGTCTGTCCTTGGTGCTGAATCATATATCAGTACCATACACTGTGCCTGTCCTTGGTGCTGAATCATGTATCAGTACCATACACTGTGCCTGTCCTTGGTGCTGAATCATGTATCAGTACCATACACTGTATCTGTCCTTGGTGCTGAATCATGTATCAGTATTATATACTGTGCCTGTCCTTGGTGCTAAACCATGTATCAGTGCCATACACTGTGTCTGTCCTTAGTGCTGAATCATGTATCAGTACCATACACTGTGCTTGTCCTTGGTGCTGAATCATGTATCAGTACCATACACTGTGCCTGTCCTTGGTACTGAATCATGTATCAGTACCATACACTGTATCTGTCCTTGGTGCTGAATCATGTATCAGTACCATACACTGTGCCTGTCCTTGGTGCTGAATCATGTATCAGTACCATACACTGTATCTGCCCTTGGTACTGAATCATGTATCAGTACCATACACTGTGCCTGTCCTTGGTGTTGAATCATGTATCAGTACCAAACACTGTGCCTGTCCTTGGTGCTGAAACATGTATCAGTACCACATACTTTGAGGTATGACTGTAACTCAATGAATATGAGTGTGTAGTCAGAATACTACTACAGTAACTATTAAACCCCATTTTTCAAACACTTAAAAGTTTGCTAGCATGCTACGTTTGGGAATTCTGAGGCAGCACTGTGCATAAAGCGCCCCCTAACCTTGAATAACGGTACTGCATGTAACGGCTGCTCAGCTAGGCACACCAGGTCGCTGCCGATCCCGTTGTCAATCATGCGTTGCTTGGTGATGTTGGTCAGCTCTCGATCCACCTCGAACACGCCTGCGCCCGGCGTGATCAGCACCGTGATCTGTCCCGTACGGTCGAAGTTTCTGGCAATGAAATGTTTCTCAAACACTGTGGCAAGAGAGAAAACAAGACTGGAGTTTAGAAACAGTTTATTTATATGAAATTCCAAATTCATATGCTTGTATCCTGCTAGTCCTCTTGGACACCAACTGGTAATGTTGGGCTGCAAAAGTGAATCAAATCTGTTTTATCCCAAGCAGCTATGACTTACAATGTCAGCTATGACTAATAACATTCACTTACAATGTCAGTTATGATTTACAATTGTCGGACACAACATCTACATACCATTCAATGACATGTTGATGGCCTCAAGGAAGTTTCCCTGGGCTGCAGTGGAGTTGTGGCCTACTGGACAACCCTCTGTAAGTAACAAAACAACCCTTCAAATATCAAAATTTCGTAACACACTGTACTTTCTGATATACAGTTTAGATTTTTCACTATATACGCATATCTTAAACCCTCATAAACCTTTCAAGGTTTCCAATGATACTAAAACCCTGTACTCACCATCCTTGCAGTATCTGGTCTTGTTAGGGTACTCAATAAAGTGTCTCTTCAAAGAGACTAACATGGGGCTCCAGTCTTCCATCCTTTCTGCCTGAGCCACAACCCTGCAAGTTCAGGTACAGCAGAAACACGATTACAATGGTATCCAGGCTAAATATTCAGTGAATGGATGCCTAAAACTCTCAAGAACCAGCAAAACATGTGAAGAAGCTTAGAAAGTTATACAGTTACCTATAGAAGTCTTCACATATTCTCCCCTTGTAGTCAACTTGAAGACATTTCCTCATAGACTGTGGGAAGTCATCTAAGGGACAGGCATAAGAAAATCTCATTAAATGTTCATTTTTAAACATTTTCAAGAGGGAATCAAGGTATATAAAGATGAAATGCATTTTCCACTGTTTGATAATGAACTCACCTACAGAATCAGCATCATAGAATGTTCTTGAGAAGACCACAATGGTCACTTCATGATTACTGTTGTTCTCCTGGGGGAATAAACAAAAGTTTAAAACCAAGTATACTACTGTACTGCATTTTCTTGATATACAGTAAATTACAAGCAGCATCTACATTTACTTCCGTTCACAAATCTTTCACCGTACATCTGACAAAAAAAAATACTTATTATATCATGCAAGTAATCTAGTGGTAAACAATTGTTCATACATGTACCTTCCACCTGGTGAAGAGTTCCTTCAGGAACATACAGGCCTTCTCCCAGTACAGGTCACCTACAGGAAACCCAGAATGTATTGAGCGTATCACTTCAGCAGAAACTTTTTATTCGCATACTAAGGATGACATCTCATCCACAACTTTCAAATGTTGTGTCAGAAAATTTAAAAGTATCTTCTACAACTGGAAAATTCTGATGCAATGTTGACCAAACATCCAACAGAAACTGTCCTGCTGATGTGCTTAGTCATAGTGACCAGTACTGTGTGACTACATGTAATTATAAATAGCTAGAGCATGCCCTCACCATGTATGTCAAACTCCCACATTTCTCTGCTCAGCTGGATGAAGAGATAAACCATGGAAGTCGATGACCGGAACACAATCTGCAAGGGGATATTCAGTCTAGCTTAATCTTTTCTCACATGTACATGTATGCCATCACATAATACAAGGTGTGGAAAGAGTTTGATTCTAATCAAAAGTTTGACATATCTTACGAACAATGAAAAAACTTCATACCTTGGTATCTTCTGTTATGACTCCACTCCCAACCTTTTCACTTCTCATCCAACATTCACCAATCTGGGCTCTGCAAGGGTAGAGAAAATAACAGAGAAAATAAGCACAAAAAGCAAGACGTTAGTCATTTTCACAAAAAAAGCATTGCTACCGGTATAACCATAAAAGGCAGCCATTTTGTAACATCAAGGAACAGCCCTGTCTAAAAAAATATACCGACCTGATCCCTGCAAATTCCACCTTCTTGGTGATATATGCACATGTGCTCACCTGTAGGTGAACACAAGAAACACAGGTGAGACGATGAGCTATCAGACTTCAGACAAGTGATTGACAGCTGTCACTTTTTCAAGGTGAAAATACATGTAGATAGAAACAAACCGTGAAATAAATTGGGGTGGTTTCAGATCAAATTCAATAAATGACTTTGGAAAACCAATACCAGCTTCATGCAATTCTAATATTTGTGGATAGGACAAAAGAGACTCGGCAGCTTAAGTAAGTTGGTAATCAGGCTAGTATAGAAATGGTGGTTGTATTGAAAGAAAAGTGAACAGCTGTGAATAAGATGGTCTGAAGATGATTCACAATTTGGACAAACTACAACTATACAAACATTCCTAAACCATAGAAAGAACACAGATAGCTTTTTTCTGTGTCTTTAAACAAAACTTTCCTTGAAACAAAACACAACATTGTTATTATATATTACCAGAACATGATGATCATCCTACTCAGAAAATCTGCCCATGGGTTCAAAGAAAACTCATGGAATCATGTCAAAATTTAAATCTCATCATCACATTTTATGTTTTTTTAATGTTTTCTCAAGCCTCTTTCAACTGAATTTTCTTTGAACCACACAAGTCTAACGCAGCAGCAGTGCAAAAGTAGACATTCAGCCATGTTACCACTCACAGGGTTACCACTCACAAATGTGCAAGGTTACTAGTACATATATAATGGTGCATTATGTGGACAGGCCTACATGATGGCTACATCCCTAGGGGCTAGCTTTGGGGTCTCAGAGTTCTTGCTATCATGTCCTTGTCATTGAATCTGACTGTCTGCTTTTCATTTATGAAGGATGACAGAGCTCTTTCCACAGGCTTAAAATAATTTGATGCCACCAATATGCAACATGTTGGACTTGAAAAGACTTTTTAGAATGTTAACAATGAAAATGGTGTGTCTCTGAGTGTAATAGGAAGAACTTCTGAGACCACCCCGGGCTCTAGATGTGTCAAACCACAGGGAAAAGGGAAGTGGGAAACATGCCTCAGCTGACTTCGGCTCATTGACCTAGGAACAAAATGTAATCAGATCAATATCAAAATGTAATCAATTTAATATCTATTGTCAAACAATTTAACCTCTTACCACAGCAAGGTATAGATAAGGATGTGTTATGATTTGAAAAGAGGTGGTCATCAAAATGTCTTCTATTCCATTTTAATCTTCCGAATGGTACCATTACCGTACCAATGATCTGATCATGATAGATGAGGCTTCATCAATGAAACTTGACAAAAAAACAAACATTTTGATGACACCATCCCTTCTCACCATGTCTCAAGAATTGACAAGAGTACAATTATGGCATCTTGGCTATAATATTTCAAACCCTACAAGACCTGAATATAAATGTCATATTGCATTGCTAGAGCGGAAATAAGGAAAGAACAAATGAAAGAAAGAAAGAAGAGAAAAGTGGAAGGAGTATCAAACAGAAAACAAAACTGAAAGAACCAAAAGAAACAATATCAGACTGTGGAGAAGAAAAAATAAATAAAAAAATAAAAACCTACCAGGCTCTTCTTCAGCCTCCACATGTCACTCCTGCTGATGTACTGGTCCTTAAACGTCAGCTCCACAAGGTCAAGGGCAACATCCTGTAATTTTAGTGTAAAACATTCATCCTTAAAGTTAGAATCCTCTTCTTTCTAAGATTGATGTATTGCAAGCTTAGTTCTCAAATCAGTTATTCTAATTTTTCAGAGAATGGTTGTAGGATTGTATTTACTATTTGATCTTCACCAAAAAATTGAAAATTTATCTAGCACAGCCTAGAATCCTTCTGCCCCTAAAGCCTTGCCAAAAACTGTGATGTTTTGACTGCTTAATTGCAATTGTGGTAAAGAGATTCCTACCTGTGGGTTGACAAAGTTGACACACACATCAATGAATGGCCTGAGCTGGAACACATTGGCCACAGTCTTGTCTACACTTATACCTATAAAATAGAGAATGTTTTATCAATGCACAATTTGGTGTTTTCTTGTTTTTGCAACTTTACATGATCTTTGAACACTGGCTGGAAAAAAACAGTGAACTCTGACTCTGACCTTTCTGTTGAGAATCTCCCTTCAAAGCTTTAACTTGTAGCAGCAGACGCCTGTAAAGACACACAAAAAAATTACAGTATAGAGAATACCAAAACTGAAACAGTGATAACCACCTGCCAGTTGGGGAGCACTGGCTGGCTGTACATGTATGTCTCACGGCTGAACCAGTACAATAGAATTAAATAAAACACTTCACATCACATCAATATTGTGATAGTACAGCTATCATTTTATATGTGTAATTACAGTAAGTAGAAGACTTAACAAAATATGGTACAATATCACATATAGTTCTGTGACAAACTTTTTATTACATTCAGTATTCCTCCATAAAGGCAAGCTGTAAGATATGTGTACCTGTTTGGTTCCTCTGGTTGGTAGATCTCCACCACATCCCCAACTTTTGCACTGGGGAAGTCTTTGGAGTTGATGACCAGGTCATTCTCTAGAATACAGAATCAAAATGTTGTAAATTTCCAAAGTAATTCTGTAATGAATAATGAAGTGTGAAGTGTCTTGTGATCTGTGACAGTCACACACAGCTCAGCTGAGCTGAGAAACCAAAGTTTATTTGTTGGGGGCTGACGTAGTATAATACTAAATGCAATGTTATCATCTGCCTTTATTGGCTCTATTAATCAAAAAGGTTATAAAAGGGACCTCTTGCTTTATGAAGAACCGTGGGACCGTTATGCCCCGCCCACTTTTCTTATAATAACATTTTCGTCTTCATTTTGTTGCAGATTCTCTGCCTTTGGTATCGCTCTAATGAATCCAACATCTATCTGATTGTAGTAATAATTTGAACAAGGGAAATCGTAGATTTCAAACCTCCGGGTTTTTTTTTTCTATTGGTTTAGGTTATTTGTTTGTGTGTAGTATGAAAGTTATGTGCGTAATATGTTTGTATGCCGGTTTGATGGCTACTGACGGTTGGTTCGGTATGGACTGTTGATTAACGCAGTGTTCGAAATACTTTTTTGAGCAAAGTATCACAGTGTGCTACCTAGGGCAAAAACTAGGTAGCGCAGCAGAATTTTAGGTAGCGCCACTCCCCTCCCCCCATTTGTCAAATTCTATGCACGTGTCGCAATACTATATTTCTTCCAATCATAGAGGTATAATACCTCCATGCTCTAATAAAGTTACTATTTTTGAGGTTTCAACTCTGAAGTAGGAGCTCTGGGTCGAAGCCAAATTACGGGTGCGTGATTTATTCTGGTTTTCTACTGAGAAAAATCGGGACAGTATTTGCGCCGGGCAGCCGGCCATGTACGCGAAATGGTACGCCCAGTATAGCAGCGATCTATTCATGTTTTATGTTTACAATTGTGCAAATTTTTTTTACAGAAATTTGATCACATATGCTTAAAAATATTGTTATACTGATGTTAAAAAATATTTTAAGACACTGAATCGCTGGCTGTGATGTGCAGCAGTGTACGTACGCCGCGTAGCGTGCCAGGCATTGGCCGTGCAAGCCTATAGAATGCCCCACTTGCGACATAAATTTCTGAGGCTTATCGTGCGCATCGTGCGTATCCACAATCATTCCCATCGTAAACATAGTCACTGGGATCTGAAATGCATACATACAGGATAATTTCCCTTCTTCAGCGGGAGTTTTGTTTATGTTTTGATCGTACACGTCAAACTGCCACGCTGGTCTACGCTGCGCGATGGTCTCGGCTGCACTTCCGGGTTCCATAATTATAAATCGACACCATAAATCGACAAAGAAACAAATATTTCCCCCCAAATTTATATTAATTGTGCACTTTTTCACTAGATGTGGCTATGCAGTCCTGGAAAACAGCGTTTAGTGCATATTTTCAAACAGAAAAATCGCGTCCCCGCGCCCTTCATGTTGCCGCCCGGCGATCTCAGCTGAAGCGAACAACCAATCAGAGACGCGTAACGCGGATACGTCATGCAAGATTTGCATACCGCCCGCCCACCGCTTCTGCTGGCTGCTGCCATGCTAGCTACGCGCCGTACTTGAAATAAATTGACGTGTATCGCCGTATTTCTGGAAATAAATGCCGCGACACGAAGATCTAGCGCTGACTCGGCTTGCACCCAGCGTTCAGCGTCACCCGCTATTACCCCCGCCGTCATCCCGCGCCGTCATTGCTGCGCCGTCACCCAACGTTTTTATCGGAACCAGACACCCCTCTGTTTGACCCCTTTTAAATGGTAAGACCCAAAACTGAAACCTCCCCATTCCTTAACAACATGGTAAATTCCATTTTCAGCATGGCGGGGGTGTCCGGAGCACTTAAAAACCTTTTATTTCCACGCCCATAAACACATATACAATTAAACAAAAACGTTCTGCATTATCTGCAGCCCAACAGCAATACGTATACCGAACAACAGACAAATCCGTCCAGCCGATCGCGAGAAACAGCTGCTGACAGAAATGTTTCGAACAATAGTAAAACCTCCTCGCGGAAGGATATCTCCTTCCCCGGAGGTAACAAGAGAAGAATCCCCCTGTGTCCCTCGTCTAATTTGTGTTGATGAAAAATACCAAAACAGTCCCCGACCCCATTTCACTTTCAACCCAGTTATCTAGTTTTACACCAACATCGCACCAGAAAACCTGGATTTACCTATTAAAACACGCTTCAGGTCAGTAACCTTTAGGACGAACTTACCACTGAAGGTCTCCTGGTGAATGTACAGCTTGAAAACTTTCGCAGCCATCCTCCTATTTATTGCAATCACGGCAAAAATTGAAAATATTTACAATTTTTCATTTGAGACAGCGCCATCTTGAAAAGTACCCAGGATGCACCAAACCTCGCGAGAAGCTCTCGAGATTTTCCGAGATGACCTGTTGTGACCCCGTCGCATAGCAACACAAATAGATCCCCAGGAGAGGGAGTGACTGAACGGTTGTGCGTGTTTTCTCCCAATTTTCGCGGCGTTTAAGGGTCCAAAATGAGTACAAATGGAGACGAAGAGGAAACGGGGCCTTCCACGGACTCCGCAGATCCCCAGGAGCGTGTTGAAGCGCGCCGGCTGCGGATAGCGAGGAGAGTAGAGGCCCGGAAACGGCAGGTCAGTCTACCTCATTAAATCACTAACCTTCATCATCTTGTTATTATGAATAAACATGTGCCATTTGTGAGCCAGGCACGTTCAAAACATACCATACAACTAAAAAATTGTACGTCCAAAGTCACTTGTTGCATAGATATCACACGAGTACTCAGAGGAAACATGTAGAGAGCTCAGAAAACACAAGAGAAAGTCAAATCGGGAAAGTCCATATTGTTTTGATTATCCGGTATCCCGCCATTGTTGTTTACTCTCCTAATCAGTTCCTGCCAAAAGTAAGCAGACAAAAGCTTAAACTTCAGCAGCCAAAGACTTAGACTTGAGTATCATTAGCAATAAAGTCGAATGTTTGACAGTTCAATATGTTTTAGCATTTTACCTCCATGGTTTTAGCCATAGAATTTTTGGTCTAGGTGCCAACTATATACAGTATAATGTCCTTGGTTATCCTGACACACTAAACTGAGGCCACATATCTACTAGTAGAAGATTTTGTGCTGTGCTCATAGTGTCATACACTTCAATCAGATTCAACAAGATGTGACAAAACATATACATAATAGTTGGATAAGAGGCAATAAGTTGCCTATAAGATCCTATAATAACAGCTGTTGATGTATAATCCACAGGAGATGGGCGTGGACCCCGACGCCAAGAAGGACGTGAAGGAGGAGCTGAGTAAGAGCAGGAAGCAGATCGAGGAGAGCAGGCAGCGACTCACCAAGCTCAAAACCGACGGCACCGAGCTGGTCACCAACGTCGAAGTCGCCGGGGACTCCCGCGAGTCTCAGCGAAGGTTGGAGGAGGAGGAGCTACGGAGGCAGCGGACCGAGAGGTTGGAAGCGGAGGCGAAGGCCAGCGCGGAGAAATTCGAGGATGTGACGAAGAAGTGGGACTCGGCGCGGCGCTACCAGATCCCGCAGGACCTGCATGAACTGTTGATGCAGCAGCGCGCCGCCTGCGATCAGATGATCGACGAGAAGAACAAGCTGGTGAACGACCTTCAGCAGGAGCTGAAGACGAAGGACGACCAGTACGTGAAGGACCTGAAGAAGCAGGCGGAAGACGTGGACCTCATGATCGAGAGAATGGAGGAACAGATCAAGAACTTAACCAAGTCTTACAGGGAGGAACTCACACAGGTACATGGAAGAAAAATAAGTGTCAAACTTTTAAGACTATCAATTGTTGAGAGTTTAAAAGTAGTAAATGGTTTTGCAGAGATCCAAAGGGGTTCTGAATTGCAGTGTTAGTCACAAATATATTGACACTAAAATTGCAAAGCACTAAAAGCATCAAAATGTAACACAAATACATTCTAACAATGAAACATAAAAATTATTTTAGTTTTCTTTACCTGAAGGCATAGTCATTTTTAGAATCTGACATCTGGATAAAAGTTCTAAATGGGAACTATGCAGCTCCAGATGTCGTACTGAGGGAAGACTGTGTGTGATAGATGTCGGTTAGCTTGAGGAAGGAATCCACTTTACTATACTTGACTGTACTGACAATGACCTTGATTTATGTCCCACAGATTGACAAGGCATTTGAAGCGGAGAGGGGAGAACTGCTTGAAGGGAACCGTAAGAAGTGGAACCAGACGATGCAGACACGCACAGAGAAGGAGGTGGAGTATCTCAAGCTGAGGGAGAAGAGAGTCGAGGAGTATGAACAACAGCTCCAGCATCTAAGGTACACAGACAGTTACTGCAAGTCGTCACAATGTGTGTGTGTTAGCTTAATCCCTCTCTGTCAGTTAGTCTAAAACGACTATGACTTTAAGTGTGCAATCCAGGAGGGTACAGTTCCTTTATGCTTAATGCCTAATCTTTCGGCTGATAACATGATGAGGGGCAGTGTACACACTGAACTTACGGTCCTTGTGATAAAAATATACATGTAACACAAGGGAGACCTTTGATTCAGTGAAAAATCTGGACTTTTGGATGAAAAGTTGAACTGTAATAAACAATAGCAAGAGATAATGGTAGTGAAGGTTGAGCCTGCTGCTAGTAGCAAAAGAAAGAAAAGTTATGATTCAATTCCTAGTGAAGAGTGAATGGTAGCAATTTTGCATGCAGAGGTAAGCTATACATTTGTACTTGTATTGCTGCATCATCATCACCATATTTACATCTCTGTCTGTCCTATGTTTATCAGGGTACAGGATGCAGAGGAGTACAACATGGTGAAGATCAAGCTGGAGACAGATGTACAGATCCTGGAGCAGCAGCTGCAGCAGATGCGCGCCACCTACCAGCTCAACCAGGAGAAACTCGAGTACAACTTCCAGGTATGTCTCTGTTTTGATGCATGTGTGAATTATCATACAAAGTTCCTTACTCATAATCCAGAGATATGTACCTGCCAACATTTTGGAAGCCCTTCTGCCCTCTTCCCTAAAGAAGTTAACAAACATCTCTGGGTTGTTCGTAAAGAACTTTGTTAACTGTTGAATTATCAACCTGATGAAGCTATTCATGGCAATATCATTGGCCATTATACATTCATACTAAGACTTGACTGAAACCATGACATTTCTTTTCTTAAGGGTTGTCTCAATGTGGCATCACAATCATTAAACCCAAAGTAGATAACCATGGATTATATGAGAATAACTCAGAGACACAGAAAATAATTTAAGTTGTGAAGGCCATTTGTCTGATATCATACCTTTCATGTAAAATGTGAAAAAATTAAACCTGGGCCATCTGCTTTATTTTCCCTTCATCACAGGTTCTGAAGAAGCGTGATGAAGAAAACACCATCACCAAGTCTCAGCAGAAAAGGAAAATCACACGCCTTCAAGATGTCTTAAACAACCTGAAGGTCAAACTAGCCAAACAGGAGAAGCAGTACAAGGAGGAGAATCAGGTGTGTTGTCAGTGTCTTTAGTTTGAAAGACATGCCATTTGATTCTGAAGAAAAAAAAGTTGTTGTAAATGATTAAATTAAGTCTCTTTATCATCTCTGTACAGGAACCAGCCTAATTTTGTATTTTCTGGCCCAAGTTGAAAATATCATATATTTTTCTTATGATAATGATTTGTTGTTCTCCTTAAACCATGCTTTAAAGTTTTGCTATAGACAATCTCACATATACGAAACTACATATGCATGTATCATGATAAACAGTGTTAAGGACTACACTGATTCAAAACATGACATTATTGACTTTATGTACCTAGTTTTAAAATCACCCTCTTTTTGCTGTCTTTTTTCAGGGCTTAACAGATGACTACAAGCGCATCACAGAGCAGTATCAGGAACTGCAGAAGAAATTCAAACACTTCCAGAGCACGGACTCACGCAAATTCCGCGAGATCTGGATGATGAACGAAGGAGAGGTAAAAACACAGCTTTTTCTAATGTTGATATTCTAGAACATCATTCATATCAGCTTCCAAGGATCAACTTGATTGTATATTACATTACTGTGACTCCATTCTGATAGAGTCATTCTGGTACTTCCTGAATACCAAAGTGTGGTAGCATGATATGATACTTTCCATAAGTTACAACTTGTTTATTTGACCTGTAGGCTAAAGACCTGGTACACAGGGTTTTGGAGGCTGACCGCATCATTCATGAGCAGCAGCTGGGTCTACCCTGGGACCAGCCAGACTTGTAAGTACAGTACATAGTCAGGGGATTTGGTAAAGATGAACTGGTGCTGCATCATCGTTTCAGCATCAAGGACAGACATCATGTGTTATTTAAAAGTTATAAGATTGGTCAATGAGTGTATTTGGCCATAGTGGAATATTCCTGAACCATTAGTTCAGCACCAAGGACAGGCATCAAGTGTTGTTTGTTTCATACAAAGTTATTTGTACTGGTCAGTTTAGGCTGATAAGTGTATTTGCATAGTTATATGTGTTATGTCATGAGGAAATGTTGCTGCACCATCGGTTCAGCACCAAGGACAGATATCAAGTGTTGTTGTAATGCAATGTTACTAGACTGGTCTGAACATCTGGATTTTTCATTGCTTATCTGACTTTCATGCTACTTTCACGCCACTGTAGGTACTGGTTGTGTATTAGAAAATCCCAGTAAGTTTTAACCTTATCTGTCTGCCCCCCTCTCCAGGTGGTTTATGGAGAATGAAGGCCCCATCGTACCCAAGCAGATGAAGGGAGCCAAACTGTCCGCCATGGAGGTCGTGCAGAAGGTCATGTCTGACCAGGGGGTGGGGCCGGGCGGGGCAGCCAGTGACGAGGAGGAAGACATTCAGGTTTGTCCAGTTCTCTTCTTTGCAAGCTCCGAAGAGAAGACCACTTCCTGTCTATGTACACAAACACAGAATATGAGGTAGTTGCCACCGTCAGCCCGTATGCAAACTGACAGGGCTACGAATGACCGGCTGGGAAAAGGTAGGAAGGGACAAGGAGAGAAGGGATGGAATATTTTAGGGGGTAGGGGGTGGAATGTGCACGCTGATAGGAAGTGGAAGTTCTTCTCCAGGGCTTGAAATATGTTTTTCTGGCAGGTACTGTTGAAAATTACTTGCACCAGATGAACTTTTCAAGTACCACTCAGAATCTAGGAAGTACAGATCATACTACAAACTTTTAAAACCATTGCCAATTATTTCTTTCATATTTCATAGTTATGTAATGCAGTGAATGATTGCTTCTGTGTTCTAGAACTTATGGTTGATTTGGCAACAGGCTGTGTTCTGAAACACACTAAAAATGTTTTCGCCTGTTCCAGAGCACAGCCTGTTGTAATACACATGGTGTTCTGGAACAGCAAATCTAGTACTTTTTGCTCTGTTTGTGAAGTACAATGACTGATTTTTAAAAAATTTTTTTTCGTCCCCCAGGAGGAGGGAGAAACCATGTCGATGGCGGGGAGTCAGGGTAGTCTGGCATCAGACAGGGAGCAGGCAGAGCCACAGGAGACGACCGTCCTGGCCAAACTCACCCCGGGAACCATCAAACAGATCCTCGAGCTGCTGTGTGATGAGTCGGTCAGTTGGTTTATCACATTTTGTTTATTCTTTGTTTGTTATTTTGTTTATTCAGGACCTGGAGAGGCCACTCCTGCCTCGCCATGGAGTTTATTCCTTGTATATTACATGTAGTTCTAAACTAAAATTTCCTTGAAACTTCGAACTTTTTCTCATGCCGTTTTGCAGACTTTTCCAGTAAAAACAAGAAAGTTAACAAGAATAGAGCCTAAAAGTTAAAAGGAATCATCACATCTTTGATCATACTAATAGACAAACATTATAATCATCTTGTCACTACTTGGCAATTGTGTTGTATGGTGATGAGGTATAGATTTGTACCAGTAACTTTGGATCAATAAGTCAGTTGAGTCAGTACAACAATTGACACTCTACATGTAAAGCACACCACACCAGTCAATACAACTGCTGTAGACCAAACTCAAAAATATTTTGTGACCTTTAAGTCAGATGAACCAAAACACCCATTTCATCAAGTGCAACTTGTTTTCAAAGTGGCACCGGTATCAACTAGAAAATGAACCAGAAAAATATTTGGTGCCCAACTCAGATTTCATAACTGCCCACCAGTTTTTCCACTCCAGGAGCACTTGTGTCCCTTTCTCTAGCATGTGTTGTGGGTCAAGTGGTCACCTGTAATGTTGTTGAGCTGTTGTTGAGTTGGAGAACACTCTCAAAGTCTGTTCTAGTACCTTTTTCATGTTCTAGAATGCCTATTATGTGTTGCTATTACATTTCTAAATACCTTAGGTAACCAAGGACCTTCAATAGATAAGTGTAGATTACAAGAAAATCTGAATGGCTCTGATTTATGTTTGTCGACTTTTTTCAAGATTTTTCTTTTTTTGCAAAAGATTACTTATTGCCAAAGTATCTGGTACATGTACTTGCATATGACACAAACTCAATCTGAATCCAAGCCAATTTTATCCATTTGTATTGCCAGTACAGGAAACTGAACCTTGTTTGCTACAGCTTTAAGAGAAAGACCGATAACGATAATATTGCCACACCTTAGTAAATCTCAACTAAATGCCCTCTCATGTTTTCCTCTACTAGGGTTTCTTGGTGGAGTCCAAACTCAACAAGCTGCTGGCGCCTCTGGAGAGGGACGAGCGATCGCTCATGAAACTAGACGCCATCTTCGGAGCGCTGGCCATCGAGACAGAAGACGATGTACATCTCCTGGCACAGTACTTTGTCAAACCCAAAGCAGTGGTCCAAGATGCAGTGCCGGTAAGTCTTGTTGTGTAATTCTGCTATAATTATGATATAGAAAATTCTATGATATAAAATGTCATGTAAGAAATTTGTGTGTAATCCAACAAGAGACGTAATGCAACAGCGTTTCTTGCCAAGTACATTTAGATTGTCTCACCAGCTATACAATTTCCCATCAAACAATAGATACTACATGTAAATCAAATTGAATAGTTACATCTACATGGATACTACCTACAGTTTTGATACTTCATGCACAGCCTTTTTGTAGAATTGATGTAGAATTGTAACCTATCATAATGTAGAGCAAGGAAAATAGCTCTTATTGAGTTGCGCAAATGTTACGTTAACTGTTGAGAAACAAGTGACTGAACTGTTTCCTGTGTTGTAGGAGAGTGCTGGTGTGACCCCTGCCCCCACAGAACGTACGGACCAGCCCACTTCCGAGGCGGGGGAGGAAGGTGAGGAGGGGTCATTTGTCGGCAGCGAGGAAGAAGAGCTGAAGTTTATGATGGAGGAGAAAGAATCGGTGAAGACAACAAAATCAGAGGCTCCAGAGTTGATTCATCCTAACGATATCTTCAAGGCACTGAGGACTTTTGTCAATGAACATAGACAACAGCAGAAGTAAGTACATGTAGTTTAGCATGTCACACTTCTTTTCACACTTGATTTTCCCTTCACAGCAAAGTTTAGTATAGCTTCCCTAGAGATAACATGATCACCACTATCCTGTAGTAATAGGACAGGTACATGTATATAAAGTTACTGTTGTTGAATCTGCATATAAAATAGGTTTGATCATTGATGTACATGTACATGTGTAGAAGATTTCTAAGATTGTTGATTTACAGATTAATTAGTATACTATATACTACATGAAACAACTAACAAACTCACAGAGGACTAAAAAAAATAGGTTTGATCTCAAGATCACTTCAAACGGATTGAATGGTATACTGTACTAATGGCATATACTAAGGAAAACTAACAAGCTACTTGTACAATGACTGTCAAAGGAACTACGCTTGTCTCTGATGTGTGTTAAACTTTCCTTTTACAGAAAGGAGCGCCGTGCGAGCTCCATGAAGTTTGTGCTGGGTGAGGAGCGCGATGACAGCCAGGACGAGGGTTACTGGAAGGCCATGGGGGGGATTATCCCTGAGAAGAAGGAACGCCTCTGGACGGCACTGCTACAAGGTGGGATAGTTGACAACATCTATTATCACCAATCCCAAGTTGTCAGCTTTCAAGAGCAAAACTGAAGACTTGAGATGGACAGGTTTCAGATAACAGGTTTCAGTCTACAATTGTCCGTTGCCCTCTACATTTAGAAGCATTTCAACCATCAAAGAGAAGTTACGAAAAGAATGAAGACTATTGAGAGCTAGGTCGATGAAGGTTAGACATCCAGGTAATACGATATGCCAAAAAACAGTTACTCAAGCAACTGGATATGATTTTGAAAACGTCACTGACGAAAGCTAGTGGATACTAGCTGAAACGTCTGACGTTTTCAAAATCATATCCAGTTGCTTGAGTAACTGTTTTTTGGCATATTGAGAGCTAGATTCAACTAGTAGTACATGTACATGTAAATAGTGTATTCATATAGCAGTCCCCCGAAATATCAAATGTGCTCAATATTCTCTGTTATGCTCAGTTAAGCTTGCTGGTAACCTCTGTATATGTAACTTTCCTTAGTCTGTTCTTTGCTAATCATTTAGATGCTCCTTGCAGACAGACAAATAACTTTGGTCCATCTTTTTTCAGGTTTTGACAAATACAGTCGCACCCTGGACGAGCGAGCCAAACTGATCACAGAAACAGATGCGCTGAGACAACAGAACGCAGAGCTGAGGATGCTGCTTCATCAGTACGTCAACTCTAAAGTCAACGGAGAGCTGGAGATCCCACCAACAAAGGTGTTGCAGCTGGAGTTCAGCGAGAACCAGCAACAAACAGCTTAGACCAATAGTTTTAGGGGAAAGGAGTTTAATTTACCTGTAGATTAACGAGATTCAAATGCTACAGTCAAACGCACATCAGTGAATATAATGTTATGCACACACAGTGTCACTTTTTTGCTATGGAACAACTGAACTACATTAAGTTTCAAGCTCTGCATTCTGTCTTAGCAGCAATTCAGAAATCACAGTTGTTGACGTGACCAAAAATCTCTGCAATGTTTTTGTATTGAATTTGAAAGGGAAAGAAAATTATTTCACATGATTTCCGAAATATGTACATGTGTATAACAATGTATGGTGCCACCAGAAAAAAATGTGAAATTGGGTGTAAAGTTTTTTTGTGAATTCTACTTTCAGGCTCTGCAGATTTTGAAAGTGTTTTAGATGTTGATGTATATATACTAGTAGTTTATCTGATTGTTTTTCCACCTCAAGATTTTATCACATGTACATGTATTTCACAAGATCTGTGTTATCAGCAGATGATTGGTCTATTTTTGTAGATATTGGGTGATACAAACAAAAATGTCTATAACAAGAGTTTTATATTGTGAATTAACTGTGCACTCCAGCTGTACATGCCTTTATCACAGTGTAAAAATAAAACTATGTTGATTACAAGTTGCCGTTTCGTGCATTTTTTGTTGGAAAGGATTTAGAGTTTCAAAGAAGAGATCAGCAAGCGATCTTTCAGTATAATTATAGATTTAATATAAACATCTGATATTTTCTTATCATTCCACAAGTTTATTGCACTACAAAAAGCATATTCACGCTTGTAATATTTTGAGGTTCTATAAAAGCATTGGTAGAAGCAAAATCTAAAATCACAGTCAAAGTAAAGCATCTACAAAATGAGTATTAGCTTCCATTATGGCAATTTTAAATGTTTCCACATATGTACAGAATTACAACTTATGATAAACAAATAGTGCTTGCATTTGGCACTAAACACTAAAAACTTCAGAAACTGCAATAAGGATACAAAATTTGACAAAAAAAACTTTAGATGGCATTAAATGCAGAATAAGCTGTACCATGTAATGAAATAATACATACATCTATACCTGTATTTACACATAGATTTCAAAGCTTGCCTTAAAAACCATTGCCCATCCCTATGTTACAAAAGAGCCCTGGAAATCTGCCTTAAGGCAGTTGAGTAGCAGCAAAATGCATCTAACAAGATTCTTTTATTAGATGTGAACCTTATTTTGAATCACATAAAATTATGAACATTAACCTTATATCAAGTACAGCCTATTGCAAACAGTTTCCAGATCAATAATTACATACATATATCAATAATATCAGTAATATTGGCATTAAATTTTCTAGTTGGCATTTATCCCATACTGACTATAGGCCCTTCTTGCATGGCTTGCTTTATAATTTCTTATCAACATGGAAATATTAGATCCAACAATATCTCCTTACTTCTTGCTAATCTCCAAGCAGATTTCTTTAGGGGCAAGGGGAGTCTATTGGCCAACTGTAACCAGTGATCTGGCCTCTACCAGGCTTCAGGAAGTGACTGGAAAGTGTAGAAATTGGCCAAATAGACAGATGATATGCCAGGGGAGGTTGTCTGAGCTAAAATGTTCTATTAGCACAGACCAACTCCCTTGGCATGTTATCTGTCTATTTGGCCAATTTCTGCTCCTTCTAGCTGCTTCCCGAAGCCGGGTAGAGGCTACCAGTGATCTATCAGGGGTTACTGGTTACTGTTTTATTTTTCAGCACATGCCCTTTTTGCATGGCTTGCTTTATAATTTCTTATAAACATGGAAATATTGTCTCCAACAATACCCCCATGCTTTTTGCTAATCTCCAAGCAGATTTCTATAGGCCTCCTGGGCGCTACATGTAACTTGTTACAATTTCGCCACTTTTTCTTTCTTTGTTACAACATCTGAAGTAGCTTTCTGATGGGAGGGTTGACTTTCACACCGTGAAGTTTCCACTCCAGAGCACAGAAGTCAGCATCCTCTACTCTCTCCTTCTGACTGTACATGATGTCATCTGTGTCTTCAGTACTGCAGCAAGGCAACAAAAATAGTGTTAGAACTTAAAAGTTATGATGTCAGATGTGTCTTCAGTAATGCTTAAAGGCAACAGTAGTAAAAATGTCCCCTGAATGCCTTTACAAAGTTATATAACATTAGTACACAGTTAGTACAACAATAATACTCAGTGAGTGTTGTAAAGATCCAATAGAAATTTCAGAGCAGCAAAACTGGATTTTCTGGGATGCCTCAGAAAGCTAAGAAATGTGCTAAGAAATAACAGTAAATGTCAATATCAGACAGATTTCCTCATCCAGAATATTTTTTTTGCCACCCTGAAGCTGCATTGGATGCCTGGTTAGGTACAGTGCTCATTTTGGAGGAGGAGGAGGGGAAGGACCCCCCTGGTGAGAGATTGTTTACACTCATTTCATGGTTGATTAAGAATGGGAGGGGCAGTGGCTGAAACTAATCCATGCACCACAGGGGGGGGGGGAGCTGCCAGATAACTTGAAGCAGATAAGGCTCATTAAAAAGTGATTTGTATTGGTGGGGAGCTGCCTACCACTGTTTAAAGAATCCAAGTAAGAAACTGATTTCCCAATCATTAGCTGAACTTTATAAGAAGCTAAAGTTGTGTTTACAATTTGATACTTGGGGGATTAATCTAGTAAATGTATTGTATTTTGTCCCTACATGTATAAATGCTGACTTTCAAAATTTGCCATGTGCCTAAAAGTCAGTGTAATGCCTTGTAACGCCAATAAGTCATTAAACCATATTGGCTAAAAAAAACTCAATCAAGACTTACACAAAGTACGTGTACAGCATCCTCTCAGCCAGGGCACAGACGGCTGTGAACAGTTTGGCGTCAAACTTTGTGTCGTCTGTGGCCTGAATCACGTCCAGGATTTTCTGTACCTGCTCCGTGGTGACTCCATCCACGTGGATCTGTTTCAACGCCTTGTCTAGTTCCTGAAGGATCAATTCACAATACAATTACATCAATACTTTAAAGTATTTGTGATATCTAGAAAAACGAAGATAATTTTTCTATAATTAGCATGTCAACAGCATGTAGGGGCTACATTACAATTTATCAATTAAAAGATAAATCTAGACCTTAAAAACCTTAAAAGCATGGGTGATATCTTGAAAAATGAAGACACAGTTCTTATTTAATTAGATCAGCAGCATGTAGGGCCTAAATTCTTACTAACTTTGTCAAGACTTACTATTTTGACAGTAAAACACTGAAGGATACATTCTATTCTATTGAACACCTTCTCCCTACTGCCTAATCCCATATCCAATTGTGAATTGGTAACCAAATGGCTACTCTGGTGTAACAAGCAAATAACCTGTTACCTTAACATTGATGATCCCATCCCTGTCCCTGTCTGCCTTAGTGAAGGATTGCTTGTACAAGTTCTGTCTCCTCTTGCTCACGATGCAGTAGTTAGACAGGTACTCGATAGGACTCATTCCTGAAGAATATCAAACAGTTTGTATTAGTTTAGTATATATTTCAATCCTTAAGTTGAAACCAAGTGTAAGCTATCCAATGTAAAATCACACTTCATGAATACTGGTAACTTCGTACTGGTAAATTTCCTATAAGTCATGTCAAAAGAACATTAGTTTCCTATAACTTGGACATTGCGACCAGGGTGCATGGCTAGTGTGGTCGGTGGGGTGATGTGAAAGTGTCTGACAAAACAAAACTCATGTAACAGTTATTTCTTTCATTTTTGTATTACCACTACAAGTCATTATCATCTACCATAGATTTTCATGCCAAGGTTGAAAAATCATCAAGAACTGTTAATGAGCTAAAGCCTCACCTTCTAGTAGCCTCATGTCCATGGGCAGCTCAAACCTGCTGATCTGTCTGGACAGCGCCAGTCTGCCCTGCAACCACGCCTGCTGTTTGGGTCGCTTCACCTCAAACTCCTGGACTTCTGCAACAATCGCGTCATTCTCTGCCTTGTTCTCCAGGAGGTTTTTCCTCCTCATCTTCATCTCCATGTTTAAGATCTCCTGTGGGAAAAATTGTTGCATTGTCAATAAAACAATTTTTACAGTACTATTTATGAATAGTTAGAGCCTTTTTAGGTAGTACACAAAGTTCTTACTGTGGAATCTGAGTCATGGAAACAGAAGTTGCGGAAGACTACACTTGACTTACATTAAACAGCTAGAAGCTGACAGTGGAATGACTCTAAGTCAACTGCATGCAGCAATGGAGGATAGAGAGAAATGGAGGCAGACAGTCATGAGAAGACTTTGAGTGAGCTCAACACAGGATGTGAGTGAGTGAAAGCTTTTTACAGGATTGTTATCTTTCGACATGCAACATTAGCTGTGATTCAATCCAAACATGACTAGAAATAACCTTGAATTATTGATGTAGAAAGCTAAACTGTCTTTTTAACCAGAAGCTAAAATACCAAACTCACTCCCTTTTCCAAACAGTGTTTTTCAAACAGTTGATACGGTTCATGAAAAGAAAACTATGAACTTGACTAAGCTAAAACAACAGAGATACTAGTTTATGTTCTGCAACATTCTAGCTAAATTGAATGCCCCAAATATAAATTTGAAATGTAATTCACAATAATGTATACACCTTAAAACTAAACTCTCAATAGTTATCTATTTGTCTACAATGTGTAAACTTGCCAAAATACAAAAAAGAAAATGCACAAACCTACCAGAGTTCACATTGCCATATTTGTACAACACCTTAAAACTTTGATAGCCAATGAGCTTCTACAAAAAGATGACCAGAGAACTCCACCTCTGCCTACACTACCTCCTGGTTTCAGAACTTTCTCTGAGCATGAACATATGGGAATGCGAGTGGATGGCACTTTCAGTGGGTTTTGAGTATGTTAGATGACATGGTTAATGCACTGTGTGGTGGTCAGCAGGGACAAAAGTCGCACTCTCTCTCGAGGGATACGTTTACGGACGGCCCTGTCAAGAGGGTCAGCTGAGTAACTACAGGATGTAGTTTTGTTATTCCGTAATGAACAAACAACTAGGAAAGCTGGTGCAGTGGGGAGCCACTTAACAGGCTGTCGTAACAGCATCTTGGCAGACTTAATCTCTCCT